TGGACCCATGATACCATCACTTGACATTTCCACATTTGAGACAAGGCATAATAACTTAAAACTTTACGTCAAAAAGATCTAAGTAAGTTGATATAAAAAAGGAATTGGAGTTACGAATACCATATACCATTCTTCATTGCTGTCAATCATTATTTGTTTACATCACAACAGTTAGTTACATAGAGCAGGACATTTTGTGGATAAAGACTCTAGAAATTTGCTTTTTTAAATTAACTTATAAATCAAAGAACAGAGTAAAAATTCTCTTTTCGAATATTTAATTTACTAAGGTTGTAAAATCGTACTTGTATGAGTCGGAAACAAAAAACAGTATATTATTATTGTTCAATATGACCACGTGATTATTATGATGTTCAAGAGTATAATTCAAAGCTGTTTCAAAAGAAAGAAGGGTATGGTAAGATTAATGACTGCAGGTATTCCCTTTTGAACATAAAGATGAGATCTAAGGTTGTGAATTGCCACTGACTCATCTATGTATAGATGATATGGTCGAAGCCCATTTAAATTGTAGGGAAGCACTCTGTAGATTACTTGCAGCTGATTACTGTCAATAAACGTTTCTCCGCAGAAACAAGTAAACTGAAGGGTGAACATTGAGAAACTTGGAAGCAGAGTATTCTGACTTATCATCGTTTATGTTGCTAATTTTGGCGAGGTGATTAACCTCGAGAGAATTGTCAACATGAACCATCATTAAGGCATATGTCATCCACAGCTATGAAATACAAGACAAGTATTTCTCCCACTGTATTTACCATACATTTGTAGAAATAACACCGGCTACAACAGCAATTTATTAAAATACCATGTAATGGGCACTTCCAAATTGTGGTGTATGCTACTTATAAACATAAGTTAGATATAGTTGGATTTCACCAGTAAAAGTAATTACATTTAACATTCAATCGGTAAAGATTCTAGAGGAAGAAACGAGAAACACCCAAAGAAAATATAGAAAATATGCGAAAAAGCAATAGAAACTAGAGGACCATTCAACATGAATGTAAATACCATTTATATAAACTGGCTTGGACGTAAGACTTTAATATTTCACCAGTGATTTTCAGATAAACGACTCTATGAATCCCCCACCAGTTTTGCTTATCAGGTGGTAAATCAGTAAAGTACCAAAGTATTACACGTTGAACGACGTTTATCGGTCAAGGGATGCAAGATGACTACTAAGCTGCTTAGCATAATATCACAATAAACTACAGGGAGACAGGCAGACAGATCAATCCAGAACTTTTCACGAAATGGTATCAATTCAAGGTGCCAGAGTTGACAGTAGTACAGAAAAGGTAACTGAAGAAACAGGATGATATTCCAATGAATAAGAAGAATGAATGGAAGGAGTACTGGGTATTGAAAGTCGTCTCCAAAGCTGGTTGACACTCGAAACCATCAGATGAATGCAACATTTAGAAGCTACATGTCCATTTAAAACTCCAAGCTCTTAGCACTTTAGCATTATATATATATATATATATATATATATATATATATATATATATATATATATATATATATATATATATATATATATAACGAGCATAATGTCCAAACACTAGCGCTCAAAGACAGACGGAAATAAAATGATTGAAATTTTCCTTTAAATAAAATTTTGTAAACAAACTATTATGAGTAAATCAGCCAGTTTATGTCAACATTGTGATGAAACGTCTGCAAAACAAGTATGATAAGTTGGTCAGGTGGCTAAGTTAACAATAACACAATAGGTATTATAAACATCATCGGGTTAAAACGTGTCACATGCTTCATTAAAACAGTAACTGTTAAACAGATAGAATGAAAAATACGATATTTAACCTAGAAAATGTGAAAATATTTTAGTTAGTCAAAATATTCGTGTCATGTTACAATTTGTTCTGATTCAACTGAAATTTCGCTAGGAGATAAAACCTCAGAGTTATTGGCATTACAGAAGCTTAATCAAACAAACTCTGTTTGAATTATAACTGATAGTAGCTAGTAGCAAAATAGATATGCGTAACACACAATCTTCTGGAAGTCATAGTTAGTAGTTTCAGCCTCGTAAGCGATATGGCAAAAAAATCCAACCCTGCGACTGCGCACTAGACCGTTGACCATTTCTATTCACTCGGTGGGGGCAACATCAGTAAATAGTGTAACATTCAACATGCTATGGATTCACACCTATTCTGTGCAAGTTAATGATGCTACTTGGTTGCTGAAACCCCGATAACTAGAAAACGGTTCGAACTCGTAATCTACTAAATGAAAGTTGTCTGCCCAAAAGACTAAGTCACATCTAGAAAGACGCTATCTACACTGAGTTTGGAAATCAGCACTCAGTGAGCATTGATTCGAGTCATAGTGAAGATCAAATATGGACCTCACTGAAAATGAACAATAAAAATGATGAAAAATGATCAATTTCAAGGTGAACTTCACCTTAGATTAATGTCAGTCAGCGAACTGAAATGACAACGTGTTCATAACAAAACTTGATGCTTATTCGTTCCACCTTCCATGGGGAGGGGGGGGGGAGGGGGGAGGGAGGGGTCATATATGCACATCACTGGGGTGTCCAGAAACTGTAAGAGAAACAGCTATTTAGAGCTCTCTAATTTTCAGTATTCCCTTATCTAATACCACACTCTATGACAAATATATACGAAATACATTAAAGAAAAGTGGTGAAAAAATCTACATTTTTGGACAAATAATGACAGGAGGTCAAGGTTTTGTTATACTTTAACTGTTTCACAATAAATTTAAGATAAAATAACATATAATCAGTACGGATACACAAATTATTTTAAATTTAAAAGGAAGGGAATTACCGAATATGAAATGAATGTTAGGGTTTTATTATTCAACTTTGACCAATAATGTCTACTGACCAACTGATATTTAGAATTTAACAAGGCAAGAACCCTCATGATTCATGGTACAGATACAGACAGACAATATCCACATCACAATTCACGTCAATACATTAAGGTGAAAGGAGATAAGAGTAATGTAAATAGTACCAACAGATATGAGAGACAAGTATAGAAAGAAGGAAAGGGAGTAAGAGCTGTGAATGTATTGTAAAGAGTTCCTCTGATTAAGAAAATGTTGCATTGTATCTGTACCTATTACTTGTGATGTACAATTTGTACCACTGTAGTGGATTTCAAGTACACAATGCCTAAAATATCCAATCACCAATTTTGGTTGCCTCTGACGAGCATAGACGTCAGTCATTGTTACAAAGGGTCTACTTTCATAGGCTAACATTCCTGACTTCAATGGAATTTATGATACATCTCAACTCAATTCCCTGTATTATTACTGTGGCGACATTAGACTTTATTACTAGTCATCAATACAACACAAGTACATTAGACTAGGATGAATAATGCTTTCTCCCAAACAAAATAATGAATGATTTTACAGAAATACTTTAGAAGCTACTGTGACTTTTGTAAAGTGATTATTGAAGAGGGTCACTAAAAAACTGGAACACAAGAAGATCCAGCTACTTTCTCGTTATTAAACATTACATTCTTTTAAGATACTTCTACTTCTTACACAAACCTCTCACGCTGATCTATTGATTTCGACAGCTAGGTCAGAGTGGTGTAAGCACCAGACGGCCGTTTCCCTCGTTTGGGGCTGACTTCATCAGCTGTGTACCCAGACAAACTCAGTTGATTGGGCCGAATTGGTTCAGATGGTTTCAATCTATCTAGCCACGTCACTATACTTAAGACAAAATGACTTACAAAAACTACCCAGCTGTGAGAAATGTCAGAGTGGACCGTGTAATTTGTAAATCATTTGCAAGTTGATCATCCTATCATGTAATCTTATTTACAGTTTTTTGAGATTGGCATTTTCGTTCACTCGTTAGATAGAATGCCCCAGAACATCACTATATGATATTTTTCCTGTCCAGTAAAATCTAGTTGAGAAACCCATGAACTAAAATTTAGCTAGCTTAAATATAAACAAGAGTATACAACAGAAAATATAAGAAGCCACAATAAATTAAAAGACAAACACCATACTGCATAACTGAAAAGGTGCGCACTGAGTCACAAGACGCTGCATCTAAACTACTCAAAGTAGAAGTTATACTGTGTAGTGATTCAGACCGGAAAATAAAGACCACCGGTTAAATATTAGCCCTCTCTCTCTGAAAGAACTGAAGAATTTTAGCTAGTGTATGAAGTCAAGAGTGTGTAGTGTTAGGATCTCCCTAAAAAATAAAACCAAACGACTTTCGAGTGCCTTGTTGTTTCTAAAGGCATCTATTTACAATAGCACGATGAGAGATATTAAAATTTTAAATGAAAGACTATTAAAAAGCTATCTGTTATTGAAATAAGAGAAGAAATCATGATACTTGGAAACTGGTTCACCTTTCAAAGGTACAAAGGTATCACTATTGAATTCTTCTGCAATAGAAAGCTGTGTGACCGGATATTTTGGGAAAAATAAAGATCACTGAAGAATATTTGACGTTATATATGAGTAAAAGCTCATCGATAAACCAGATAAGTACTACTGACTACGAGAACATGGGTGTTTTAGTTATGAAGTGAGTTTTCGCAATGCTCTCCACAGAATACCTATCCCTCATCCCTCGGTATTTATAATCATTATGAAAAATAGTGATGAAAGAGGTAAACGTTTTTGTTCATGCTCAGTCAATATTTTTCTATCGAGTTCTATAACAATAATATGGTAATTGTATCAACAGATCCATATATCATTCTCCTTAATTCACTAATTTTACAAATAAATAAAAACGAAGTCATTAGAACAGAAGATATAACCACAAAAAGTATCTTAGTGTACTTCAAATGTTTGCGCAGTTGATCATTCAACGAAGTAAATTACATAATATATACATACCACCGAGAAAGAATATTTACAACCATAGGATAAAACTGAAGAATACAAAAATTCATACTAATCAATTATTTAACAAGGCTTACTTTATTTACAAGTGCCGTAATAAGATTAACTCGATGGACCAATTGATCATATTGTCCACGAAATTCAGCAGCCTTTTTATAAGAAAACAATAATGATAATAATAATTATAGAGTAGAAATCTTTAGTGAAAATTTGATGAGTAGGGGGAAGAAAATATCGAATAAGTACGTATACAATCAACGAACTAAAACACGGAAATATGTTCCTTATTCAAGTATCAGTTCCCGCTTGAACTAAGCACAAAAATAAAGCTAGTGGATTTTAAGATTGAAAATAGATCTTGATACTAAAACTTCTTATTTCCCATTGTTGATTAATTTGAACAGCAGTGATCAGCCTATGGGCACCTGTGCGGATGACTTGCCGTAACAGAAGACACCATTTTTCGTAGTAACGATGAACAGTGGTTAGCAATGACATTCAGAAGGTGCATTTCTTCCTACTTCGGACTCGTCAGTTGACTGTACCGGCAACCCAGTAAGTGGTGATGTTCGCGTTGAGACTCAAACTAAGCAGTTATCGCTTCAAAAACTAGAGTGTTATGCATTAGACTACTAAGTTACGACAGCCTATCCTTGTGCGACAGATACAGTTTGAAAGAAGAACTAGTTATTTCCCGGTGTTGATTGGTTTGAATCGAATTGCTTGACCTCTCTGTTGGCATACGAACTCTTGTGCGGATTGCCTCGATGTAGTGTCTAGAATTCCTCTGCTAGTCACTAGTGATCTTCAATACCAAAAAGATATTTAGGTCATTAGTTGGGTAATGTTTGTTGATTACACAATGTAGTGGTTACGTAGTGCTTGATGATTGGTTGAAAACTGAGAAATCTCTTTGGCAAACTCACAAGTCTTCATACAGCCTTTCTATCAAACTTAGTAATCGATCAAACACAACTATCAGAATATCTGAGTATCAAGGTGATAATTTTCGATAGGTTATCGGATTGCAGGAATCAAGGTGGTAAGGAGACATCTTGCAATAAGAGCTGGGATTAGTCAATAGATAACTGACAAACCAAGGAGCAAAGCTGAGAATTTTTCACGAGTGCAAAGTCATAACGTCGAACAAGATTAACTTTTGAGCCAATAACTGAGTGTTGATTCATACATTCTAACTCAACTCCATCTCAAACTGTTCATTTGCAAAAGTACACAGAGGTACATCATTATCTACTGAGAGACGTTTCGAGCAAAATTCACTACTCATCCTTATTATTTATTTGTACCTTGGGTTCCTAGTGAAACATAGGGCTTCAGTAGCACGCCTCCATTGCACTCTCTTCTCTCCAGTCTATCCAACCTGGCTTCACCACTGCCCATAACCTTTCATTTCTTCCTCACGCCATCTCCTCCATGTCACTCTTGCCTCGGACGCGCAACTCGTCGTCCCCCATTTCGGTTCCACTCGAAGACCTGGCATGCCCTACCACATGATATCCCCAATCGGTCTTCTCAGTGTACGCCCAATCCATCTCCACTTCCTTCTGCATATTTGTTGGGTTGGTTCGTTGCCACAGTTCCTTATTGCTTATTCTTTCTGGTCATCTGATCTGATCTTCAGCATCCAGCGAGCGATCATAGGCGGCAACTGTTCATGTATGTATGTAGTTTGTTGGAAATGCTTTTCATAACGCGCCAAGTATCTCAGCCATCACATAGAAGCACTGACTTGATTGACATTAGTGTTGAAAATCTCGATCTTGTTCACGCTTTACGCTGAATGGAGTGTAGTGCAGTAGATCTCCACACTGATTTCAGGTTAATGAAGGCCTGTCTTGCTGTCTTTTCAACCCTGGCTTTGACATCCTCATCTGTGCAGCCTCCACCGCCACCGCCTGTAGTTGAGACGATGTTGCCCTGCCTAGGTGGGTGATTTAGATTTCTCCCATTGATGGTGATTGGTGCCTCTTGTTGTTGCCTGGATATCTTCATCCCCTCTGTCTTCTCTGCGTTCACCTGAGGGAAGTCCCGTCTTCCTTTGTTGCCCTGCCCCGCCTCTTCTGTCAACTTGTTAGTTTTCGCCTGTACATCATCGAGTTCATGGGACATTAGACATAACTCACTGACGAAATCCAAATCTTCTAGGGACTTTTCATCGGTCCAGCCAGGGTATGACACCTTCTCGCTCCTCACAGTTGTCGGTTGCATGATCCAGTCCGGTTGACAACAACCAGGAAGATCATCGATGACAGTAGGCAACCTTGTCTTACTTTTTCACTACTCATGATTATAACAAAATGATAAAAGTAATACAAACTGCTCGAAGGGGCTTCTAATGAATAATAATGTATCACTGTTCGCTAATATCCACCCATCTATCTGTTCTTATTATACTACTGAGAAGTGTGACACCTTAAACTGATGCATTCTTGTGCGAAGTTCCACGCTGATTTTGTTTATCTTTCTGTCTGCCCGTCTGCAATATCAAATAAACAAACTAATATTGAATTATATTATACCATAGTTTTACTCCTAACCTCGCCTGGTTAACTAGTTTACTAGTTACTAGCCGGTCCTAAGCCCGGGTAAAGAGGGAAGGTTGGGCATAGGGCTAGCAACCCTACCCCGTAAAACAAATCTAACCGCTAAAGAAACTTCAAAGCACAAACAAAATATAAAAAATGAAAACAAACTTATTCCCCGCTGGAATCGGAGAGGCGAAATGACGCCAGTTGGTGAAAGCCTTCGGGAAGCCAATTGGCCGATGTGTCTTCTCTCGATGAAAGCGAAAGTAAACGTGGGGACATGGAATGTCCGCACGATGTTTGAACCCAGTAAGGCAGCCCAGATTGCAAAGGAGATGAGAAGGTATAACATCGAAGTGCTTGGGATTTGCGAAAGCAGATGGAATGGGAGTGGACTCTCCAAACTGTCAACTGGAGAATCAATAATCTACTCCGGTCACCCAGACGCCAACCACGAGCACACTGAGTTATGGAGTGGCTATCATGATGTCCTCAAGAGCATCGAAGGCTCTCATGCAGTGGGAACCAATCTCCTCCAGGATCATGACAGTAAGATTCAACTCAAAAGGAAGAAAGGTCACAATCATACAATGTTATGCACCTACAAATAATGCAGAGCAAGAGAAAAAGGAGGAATTCTACAGACAACTTCAATCAACACTGGACAAGACGCCAGTTGGCGATATCAAAATTCTGATGGGCGACATGAATGCCAAACTGGGAGGGGACAACACAGGAAGAGAACTAACCATGGGTCGAGAGGCGCTAGGTGAAATGAATGAGAATGGAGAATTGTTTGCAGAATTCTGTGCATTCAACGATTTGGTGATTGGAGGCAGTGTGTTCAGGCACAAGGATATCCACAAAGCGACATGGACTTCACCAGATGGACACACTAAAAATCAAATCGACTTTATCTCAATCTCAAGAAAATGGAGACGCAGTCTACTTAACACAAGGTCAAGAAGAGGAGCAGATGTAGGTTCAGACCACTCACTATCTAGTGCAAGGAACCTTCCAAATCAAGTTAAAAGCCTTCAAGGAAGCTGGTGATAGACCTCAATTCAAGTACAACACTAGGAAACTGAAGGATGAAACTACAAAGGAGATCTTCAAAGCAGCCATCAAGACAAAATGGGAGACATCGAGGGACATCCCTGAAGAAACCTGTGTGGAAGAACACTGGAAGTCTTTAAAAGCTATGTGGAAAGAAACCTGCACAACAGTATTAGGAAGGAAGAAGAAAGAAGACAAGGAATGGATCTCGACGGATACCTGGAAGCTGATAGAGGAGAGGAGGATGGTGAAGCAGAAGATAAACCAGTGCAAGGATGCTCAACGACAAGAGGAACTGAGCACAATGTATAAAACACTGGACAAAGAAGTGAAGAAGAGTGCACGCAAAGACAAAAGACACTTCTACGACACACTGGCAAGTGAAGCAGAACAGGCTGCAGGTAAGAGAGACCTGACGACATTGTATCAAATAACCAGGTTGCTATCAGGGAAGAGACCAACACAGATGAAACCAATAAAAGATGAAGAAGGAAATTTAATTACAAAAGAAGAGAAACAGAGGAAACGATGGGCCGACCACTTCAAGAAGCTCTTGAATCGACCACCACCTGCACTTCGTCCAGAAATACCACCTGCAGCCGCTGAATTACAAGTGAACATAAATCCCCCAACGAAAATGGAAGTCCTGAACGCCATAAAGCTACTGAAATGCGGGAAAGCAGCAGGACCAGATGGAATACCGCCAGAAGCACTGAGAACAGATGCAGAGACAACAGCGGACATGCTCACACCACTATTGCAGAAGGTGTGGAAGGAAGAGAAGGTACCGGACGATTGGAAGAAGGGTTACCTTGTCAAACTGCCGAAGAAGGGAGACCTCAGTGCTTGCAAGAACTGGCGCGGAATCACTCTCCTGTCCACCCCAAGTAAAATATTAAGCCGCATCATCCTGGAGAGGCTTAAAGACGCACTGGATTCAAAACTGCGACCGGAACAGGCAGGCTTCAGGAAGTACAAATCATGTGCTGACCAAATTGCAACGCTTCGTATCATCATAGAACAGAGCGTAGAATGGCAATCAGCTCTATACCTCAACTTCATCGACTTTGAGAAGGCCTTTGACAGCGTCGACCGAGAAGTAATTTGGAAACTGCTTCAATACTACGGAGTACCGCAAACCTTTATCCGCCTCATTCAACAACTATATGAAGATGCCACATGCCAAGTAATCCACAATGGGAAGCTCAGTGATGCCTTTGAAGTGAAGACAGGAGTGAAACAAGGTTGCCTACTATCCCCCATGATATTCCTTATTGTGGTGGACTGGATCATGCAGCAAACAGTAGGCAGCGAGAAGAGGGGGATACACTGGACGACGGAAAAGAACCTAGAAGACTTGGATTTCGCCGATGACTTATGCCTAATGTCACATAAACTTGAAGATCTGCAGGCAAAAACTAACAAGTTGACAGAAGAGGCAGCGAAGACGGGACTTCAGGTGAATATAGAGAAGACAGAAGTGATGAAGATACCGCACCACCACCACCAACAACAACAACAAACTCCAATCACCGTCAACGGGAGAAACTTGAAGGAAGTAACCTCCTTCACTTATCTAGGAAGCATTGTTTCAACTACAGGCGGGACGGACGAGGACGTCAAAGTCAGAATCGGAAAAGCAAGACAGGCGTTCATTAGCCTGAAACCAGTGTGGAGATCTTCTGCACTCAGCATGCGGAACAAGATACGGATTTTCAACACCAACGTCAAGTCAGTGCTCTTGTATGGCTCAGAGACTTGGCGCGTCACGAAAGGCATTTCCAATAAACTACAGACATTCATCAACAACTGCTTACGCTCGCTGCTGAAGATCAGATGGCCAGAAAAAATAAGCAACAAGGAACTCTGGGAACGAACCAACCAAGAACCTATCACGCAACAAATATGCAGGAAGAAGTGGAGATGGATTGGCCATGCACTGAGAAGGCCGACTGAGGACATCACGCGTCAGGCCCTCGAGTGGAATCCCCATGGGAAGCGACGAGTTGGACGTCCGAGGGTGACATGGAGGAGGTCATGCGAGGAGGAAATGAGAGCTTCTGGGCTGTCGTGGAACCAGGTTCAAAAGATCTCAGAGAACAGAGGTCACTGGAGGCGTGCTACTGAAGCCCTATGTTCCACTAGGAACCCAAGGGACTAATAATAATATAATAATAGTTTTACTCCTGCATTTCAACATAGCAAAAGTCTCAGTTAGTTTCTCGTCAATTTTCAGACATAAATTGAAGGTGTACATAAAAGCAACATTCATATACTATCAGAGTACACTACACATGTCAGATAAATATAAAAAGTGAAGTATAAAAAAGAGTGATTTAGAAGCCAGCAGTATTTCACAAGTGATATGGATCATAATTTAATTTTTTGTACCTGCGTTCTACACCCGCTGGTATTCATAGTAGTTTAAATCTGTAGCGTTAGGAAAACTTGAGCTCCTCTCGCGATTTGAATCTGCATTTTCCCGAGTTACATATTAAAATTGTATGGGCTGAATTAATTATGTGGATAAATCAGTTAGCAGACGACCCACTGACAACGTCAGACTATAATCACACTATATTATAAAAGGAAACTAGTCAAGAAAACTGGACGATGAGATTACGATTCAGAGGCTGAATGATGTATCCAACTACGAGTTACATCTATTTTGTGAGAAGTTAATAATACCACCTGGCTAGAAATAGAGTACCTAGTTTAATGACGTTGAGAGAATAGTTAAACAGTTCACTGGTTTCTTCCAACAAATAAATCCTCACTGCGATGATTAAGATGAGAAATATTTTGTCTTTTGAGCACTAAATGATATCGACGTTTATTTGGATGAATCAACAATAAGAAATAAAAGCTCTTACACAATTGATGCTATACATCATCCTTGAGAAGAGGTAATATGCAATAATACACAAAAGTAACTAATTTTCTGAAATCTTTACGACACTTTTTTATTTTTGATTAGAACATAAACAAGGGACAACAAGAGCACCAAGAAATACGCCACATAAAATATTGCAACACGATTTTGAAGACATAAGGCAAAGGGAAGTGGATAAATAAAAAGGAAAAAACATAATAAGAAGAGGGTGATTAGAAGGGCAGTTCAATAAGATACATTCAAGACGGAACATTCATTACTTTTCAGTGGCAGAAAACAGAAGTAAGCTACAGGATGACCATTACTGGTTTCGATTCTGAGCCGTAACTGATATCATCTCAAGTCACTGGGTTTTGTGATCTCTCGGATGCAACCTAGGGAGTCGTGATGCACCAACAGATGCCAACCTGACACAACTATCCTTTATCCCACGGCGCCAAGTCATATACTGACGACATCTCCGCTTCTTCCATCCAGTCCCAGGGTATGGAAACCGTTGGGACGACATGCGTAACACATGTCCAAGCCACCGAAGTCAGTGTTTCCGGATGGCTTTATTTACCGAATGACTATTCCCAACATGCCCAAACACACGGTGTTGTACCTCAGAATAAGTTACATGGTTTTGCTACCGGGTATAAGCAATCCTATAGAGACGACGATGAACGAACACACAGAGTCGTCGCACATCCTCAGCTCAGAGACCTACTAGGTTTTACAGGCGTAGGAGCAAAACTTCTCGCACCGAAGCGTTGTAAACCCGACCTTTTACGGTCAAACTAACGTCACGACTGCACCGAACGTGGCCTAGGTTGACGTATGCCACCCTGGCTTTCGATATGCGGTTGAAAATTTCACCACTCACACCTCCATCAGCACTCACACAACAACCCAGATACAAGACCTTTTCGATAACCTTCAACAGATTACCACCAAGGGTGAGCGCAGGCACAGACTCCTGCCAATCTTATGAAGGTACTTTGCACTTCGATGGTGCAAAGCACATCCCATACTTACGGACACTAATAGCCGACTGATTAGGTGCGACTTGAGTAGCCTGTGTGTTATCACACAATAAGACGATATCGTTCGCATATTCAAGGTGGAATAGCTTTTCTCCGGGTAGTAGATCTACACCACCATCACGCACCTCCTTCAGAGCTGTCTCAACAACATGATAGGACTAAAGCATATCAATATACTACTAGACAATATGAGTAGTTAGAAACCACTCATCCTGACGTGTTGATTTTGTCAGGCAGCTAAGAGTGATCTAAACACTGGACAACCGTTTAGCTTGTTGGGGGTCGAACTGTATGGATAAAATGAATTATCATATATTGTTTTTCATGAAGAAAATTCCAATAGTTTCATCCAATTATTTTTTTCTGATTGAATAACCAACCTTATATAAGGGAGTATTGCTGAACGAAAACCTGAGTCGTGGAGGGGTTCGAATCAGTGCTCCGCCGACTGGTTTGTAGAACTCAAGTGCTGACGAGTCTCCAGTTTCAGTATGATAACCCAGTCTCCACTCATTTTTAAGAGAATGATAACTAAAGGTTGTTTTGGCAACCATAACTGTCTCAGACAGTTTGCAAAACAGTGTCCTAAAAAACAGTTTTCATCATGAATAAACAATCAGCTAGATAAGTTATTCAAATGATTAATAACCACAATAATGAGTGATAATGTATAAGCGGGTGATTTATAGTGACATATCGTTATGACGTATCATAAACGAAAAAGTTACATAAAAGTATCGTTTGTGATAAGAACCACTTTGAAATGAATCAATCCCTGCAAACCGTTAATTGAAAAAAGTGTCTTACCAAAGTTTCATCCACAACCATAAACAATTCCATAATGTATGGTTCTATTTCACCTGGCCGGTGGACAACACGCACAGTATCCAAAGTTGGCTAAAATGTACAACATGGGAATATATATGAAGTGAATAACAAAATCATCAATAGAAAAACAATAACAAACATTTAAATTGTCTTATTATGTCTAATTAGCACAGTGATGATATGAAAACAAGGTACATTTGATCATAAAGTGAGTCAGTTGTCAGGCTTTCAGTTATTTGCAGTCACATGCATCAAAAATGAACAAGTGGTATATATATATATATATATATATATATATATATATATATATATATATATATATATATATATATATATATATATATATATATATCAAGGGGTTTGTTAAACTGCACAGGGGCAGTTACAAGCGATGAGTTATAATCAGTGGAGTGAAGACTGAAGTAGACAAAAACCAGATGTTGAGGATGAGAAATTCATTTCCATTAAATTTTATCTACCCATGATATAGTCTCAACTGTCGCGCCAGTCAGCTACTTCAGTTGTCACATGCCCACATTTCCTTACACAGCTATGATTAACTTATAACTTTAAAATCTGAGGGTGAAGTTTGTGAAAATATTTGTCCGACCATCAAATATGAAATAAAACAGCTGACAAAGACGAATAAAATTGTTGATCTCGTCAAAGGTTGAAAATAGACACTGGGTTGATCGAATATATAGAACTTGAAAGCTCAGTGGATAGATCACCAGATACCAGTAACCCAAATATAGCCGGTTCGAACCTTACTTCCAATCATCAGCCAGTGTAAAAATATGATATGTTCGAATTCAGGATCTGAAAACTAGTATTATTATTATTATTATTATTATTATTATTATTATAAAATGGACTAATTGAAGTTATGTTTTCAACCCATACTGTTCATAGTAATATATTACTACTAGGGTGGATGAGGTAAATAACTAGATGTTTTAACACTCACTTCATTGTTCTATATGACATATATGAGCAGGTGAGTTCTACGTTGTATGGTAATAATATGATTAAATAAAATGACCAAATATGTATAATTTATTATAAATCGTCGAAATTTTCAAAACAAAGCCTTAAACAACATATACAGGAAGGAATATATAAACCTATATTTAAACAGAATCATAGGCAACTTACAGTATTTATTGATGTCTCAGAAGCTGTAATAACAGAAACAAACATATGAATTAATATATATTCATAAGAGATTTCGTAAACTACTACAGTATCCTGTCAGTCACTTCCCTATTACATCAGAGACGAGATGATTTGATTATAAGTCTGAGAATTTATTGAAATTATGGTCAAAGTTGGTGAACATTTCAATACTTACACTAGGCTTAACTTCCTAACGGTAATGTAGCATTGACTGACTAGGTACAAATTCATTTTATGCAAGTTACATTATATATATAAGCGAGAGTTAATTATTTCTATTCAGTTTATCTAGTCAAAGTAAGCTAAGAGAGTTTCGTATATGTGAACGAATGATTAACAGTCAGAAGTCTAGATTATACAGTCATGCTTTAGAAAAGACTGATGGATGCAGTATATATACCGGCCACCACTTTGAATATTAAATTTCTCCCTTTCAACATTTCTGGATTAGTGTTTTTGAACAGACGTTTAACAAGTTAACAATAAAATGAACAAAATACGTCATGGTAGACGGCAATCGGCAACAGCACACCATACAACTACTCCTGAGATAGCTCAATTTTCACATTTTCGCACCAGTTGGAAAAATCACCACTAAACTTAAACACGATGCTTTTTATTCATTTCCTCTTCCAGATCAGAGGATTATCTAACAACAGTTAGTTGTTACACGTTGTTGCCCTACAATACTGTTATAATACTGCTATAATTGTTTCTTTAAAAATATCATACAGGGAGTACACTTTACTGAAATATTATACGCTGAGAATTTGACAGTGTGTTTTTCAGAATAAAGTGATTATTATATTGTTCTATACTAAAAGAAAAGTACTTGACAGACACTCAGATGTTAAGATCGATCGACTGGTACTATCATCATTCCCTTCAAACTATAAATATGACTAGGATACTTTTAAAGCATTTGCACTGGTATATCACACACTTATTAAAAAGTGAATAAAGAATTCAGTCATGCATCCGAAAAAGTCTTTAATTACGATTACTAGTTACATAACTTATGATAAACAAAAGTTTAAAACAATTCGGAAGTTTGTAGGAATTAAGTGAATTAATGGCTAATGCTCATTAGCCTTCCAAAAGTTCTAATGAGAAGTTGTGACCGGTGGAGCTCACCAAACTGGACGTAAGGAAAGGTACTCGACATTGTCATTGGATGGAAGTCATGCCATATCGTGAAGTGACAGAAGTAGGAAAATGCGGACCATTGAGTTTCGACCCCGTGGTTACGTGCTTGCCCGAGAACGTGAAGGTCCTGGGTTTCGACTTCAGATGGGGTTATAGGTGTTCACCGCTGAGTCCTATATACTAAGGAGAAACGGTTGTTCAATACTTATAGGTTCTCAATGGTCTCTTTCAATTGATGTCATTCCATGACGAACATCAACTTAGAAATGTAAAGAATGTTATTGCTGTCAAGGGAATAAATTCATTAAGACAACTTCCTTATATGCTCTTGGATAGTTATTTTGGCTAAAGAAGAGAGTTAGCGACCAAGATTTATCACAAATGATATGACCAAGCGATAAGACAATTGATACAAATCGATTGGATATCAGTTATTTACTGTTTACAAATTAATAAGAATGGTACACTTTTGTTATTTGATATTCAGGGTTAGACTAGTATTCATCACATAAATATGTACGTTTTTACTAACTCCTTGTTGAGCTGTGACTCACCGAATACGGTGCTCGACTCCAGGTCATGGGTTTACGAACCACTTAGGATTTGAATGTTAATAGTATCATTAGTATTTATACAACATTTGTAATTCATGGAATAGTGCAGGATCTGGTAAACGGTTGAAGAATCATATATATATATATATATATATATATATATATATATATATATATATATATATATATATATATATATATATATAGCAGGATAGAAAACATGCCGTGTCAACTGGAGTCTCTAACCACTAGTTTCTGTTGTTATGCGGACCCCAACCAGGAAGTCTGCATTCCCCTTCACCGCTGAGACCTGACTGAAGAAATCAACGCAGAACCTCGCAAACAGGTGAACCGGCTCAAGTTGCAACACTTCACAGTAGTGCAAAAAGAGTAGGTGGATAGAAAAGAAGTCATATAAAAGCAGATGAAGTAGTGTAAAAGAATAAACAATCTGAAGATAACGGTTAGAGCGAATAATTAAGTTTCCGAAAGTGTCAAGGAGTGAGTACATCTGCGCCACTCCGACACATTTTCAGTCATGTCGCCAAGAGTTTTCAGTCACTGATTCCTTTCGTCTCGAGGACCGCGACCAGGCGATCTACATTTCCCTACACGGTTAAGGACTCCATTGACTGATGGAACGTCTTAGTGTGGCAATCCTGAACACTCTTCCAGCCTAATCCAACTTCCCCTAGCATAGCACGTCAAGATAGGCGATGGCTCGGCCTGCGCAGTACATATCCAAGTCGTCTCACCCGATGAAGAGTCACAACCTTATCAATCGACTTGCCTTTCTTGTCTAGTGCCCTTCGCCTGACCTCAACATTGCTCACACGGTGATCCCACCAAATGCGAGCAATGACGCGAAGACATCTCCTGAGACCAATAGTCAAAAACTTCATGGACTGATCCCATGTTTTATTTGGCCACATAGATTCATTTTCCAGCGCAGACTTACTTCACCTAACATTGTAAGATAGGACAGACGGTGACTTAGCATGTGTGACACAGGTCCAAGCCACCTGAGTGGATGAAGATTAACAGCCTCATCATCTGGCTTCCTCCTAATGCCTAAAACTTAGCTCCTAACTTCTGTACTATTGACGTGGTCATAGAGTGACACATGGTCTACGCTACGAGGGTAATCGTGATCGAACACTTAAAGCTTTCTCATCGTTACTGGTCACACTTCACAGACATATAGTAGGCCAAAGAGTTCTACAGCGCAGTACAATAGACCCTTAATATGAAGTCGAATGTCACTTTATTGCCATCAATTGCGTAAGTTGGCAAAAGCCAAGTAAACCTTTTTCAACCATCCCGAGATTTCACCGATCACTGACCCGTCAGGGTTGATCTAACGTCCTCAACCATTTCATTTCCTATTGTTAAATAAGGCACCAATGCAGACCACTCCTGGAGCAACGATTTTGCATTTAGGTGGTGAGAAATGTATGTCAAACATTTTTAAATCGTCACTCGATGTTTGCAGGGGACTATGCATCGACGAAGTGGAGTGGCGCCTTCAGATTAGAAAATACAGCTAATGTTGGGCACCGGTAATAGTGCTGGTGTTTCAGAATCTGACAGAGGGTATATCTCTGGTCGACATGCCCACGTTCGGGTCTGAAACCTGTCCGGTTTTCATGGGCTTGATGTTCCCGAGCTTCCTTTAAGCGTCTAATGACTTCAAAACTCAGGAAATGCTAATCACATGAGGATTTCTATCCATTCTTGCAGACTGAGACAATTGGCAATTGAGATCAGTTAGAAAGGATAATATGTTTCCCATACGTCAGACAACACTTCAATGTAACCAGTAGTTTACTAGAGACTCCTGCTCTCATAGTTTTAGGTCACTTAAAGCCAGCCCTCAGGGTCCATTCACGATTTGATTGGATAGCGGACAACCGGAAACTAGCTGGTGTCCAGCTGAACTGTTGCTGGAAGAGTTCCGCCCATCATTCCAGTCTTCTCCTCGGGGAATATATCGCAGACCCATTCTCCTCGAATATGGCTTCACTAATCACTGACCATTTTGTTGTAGTCCCCCTTGTAGATCTACTGTCACCTTGCCTCACTATTACTTTACAATTATTAATCTACTTTGTAGGAACAATTCTTAAAGTTAAAAGGATATTCATGATCTATTATGAAGAGAAAACAAATGTTTGCCAGTTATCACTGTTAACCAACCCGGTATTTTAACTCAAATAAGAATGACATAAAGGCATAGAATTCGTAGTTAAGTCCTGAAAGAGATTGACGGTTACACAGCTGAAGAATTTGAGGGTATGAAGAATAAGCCACATAGCTCTGCTACATCGTCAATGGCAATTTAATTGAATACTGCTCAGCTTGAAAATCATTTTTAAAATAATGACTGAAGATTATCGACTTGAGGTAAATTCTTCTCAATACATTACTGGTAAGCGAAACTTCAAACAAGTAATATACAGTTATTGATGTTCAGACTGCTCTGTTCCCGTTGGTGAAATATGATCAGTGAAGATAAGGCTTAACTAACTACTGATACATACATAAGTACATTATATGAATTTCTATTTGGGCAGAAAAAGTAAATTCATTGTATAAACGCCTGTCTGAATGCTTCTTTTTATGCTAATGTAAAAGTCACTTTATGACTCATCCTTTTATAGATTATATATGAATGAAAATATGAATAGAAAATACTGGGTGCTTTAGAACTCTTGTTGAAAACTATTCAAAATAATATTTTGATTAGGGAAAAACTAAGACTCTTTCCTTTTATGCATAATTCAGTTAAATGGAAAAAAATTGGTATACAGAGCCAAAACAATCGTTGCTTGCAAACGTACATCTCTTAGCATGATCAATCGTTATGCTAACCTCAATGCTGAACATACTGAAAAGTGTTTTCATGCAAAATTACATGCATCTCTAACTCCATCTTCTACCAACCGAAGGTTAACAGAGAGGTAGAAAACATACAGACAGAACCTCGCATAAAAGTACATTACTTCAAGTTGGCACACTGTCCACCAGTATACAAACAACAAGTAGGTAGAAAAAAATGACGATAAAGTACACGAAAAAGTATGAGAACAAAGGGAAGTTTTTGAATAGAGTTTATTGAAAATATTCAAACTGTAGAAGACGTCAAACATTGAATGCGTTTGCATTATTGTGATTGATTTTCAGCCGTCATAAAGTCTTTACCCATTAATTTCCATCGTTTCAACGACCTCAAACAAGTAGTCTGTACCTCCCAACACAGTTCAAACTAACAGTTACAGACTTCACAGACTGACTAGACGTTT